CTAAACCTAAACCTAAACCTAATCTGCCCGAACCTAAAAAGAGTATTATTTATAGTTTTTGTAAAAAACTTCGTGTACTCGTATACATACATTTTTATTTAATATTCAATTGCATTATTCAAGTCTTTTAAATCCAGCCTTTTCCCAAAATAATATTTTGAAATTGATGTAATTATTTGCTTCAAAATATAACCTTCTGCATCTCAACTTTTATAATCAATTAAATCCTTACTCTTACCTTTCAACCCAGAAATGCAATGCAATTCATAAGAAATTAATTTTGTTCGTAAAGAATTTCTCATGCTCTGAAATTAACTTCCTTAAAAATGATTCTCCTACTAAAACAATTTCAAAATCTTCTAAAGGTTTTCTACTTCTACCAACACATTTGCCATATTCAAATAATCTACAATCTATTGATATAACATCTAATTCCATTTTCAAACATTCTTTCATTTTCAAATTCCTCATTAATCAGAGTTTCCGCTGTCTCACATAAGAAATTTACCAAATAAAGTATCTCCGCAAATTATTCAGTTATGGTATTCATCTCAAAATCCAGATCCAATTCTGAAACAATAATCTAAATAATATTTGTATTGATACACAAACCAATTATTAATGAGTATTGCGGTAACTTCCTGTAACTATCTAAAGCTAAAATTGTTTTCGAATATTTATATAAACCCCTGTTTACAAAATTGAAGAATGCATTTTCGATGGATAAATATATTTAAATAATCTTGGTACAACAGTAGTAATATTATACTTTAGAGAAAAATTATTCCTATCTCCACTTTTATCTGATGGCCTCTCTTTCAAAACAATAATGATAAATCAATTATATTACTTCCAAAATTATAAAATCCATAATCAAGTAGAATTTTAGTGATCTAGACCAATAAAATCACTTTATTTTTGATCTTACTACCATAATTCTATTATTATCCTTTTTAAAACCTTTCTTTTTTTTGACTTCTAGACAAGACACACTGTGTATACTGTAACATTGTCATTTGAAAATTAATTGCAACATTAAAAAATTTGCCGGATTACACAATAAATATCCTTATCCCAATCGCTTCTATATTTTTATATTACTTATTAATTATATGATACTTTTATATCATCTTGAAAATTCTATTAATTTCTGTTACTTTATCAATTGAAATCTTCTCAAAATTCCTATTTTTATTGTCATTTCTACTTTTCCCCACAGTTTGATTCATTCCTTTATATATAATTTTTTATATTTATTTACATATATATTCATATATATATTCAATTAGTTTATTATCTTGTTTATACACATCGCTTAAAATAAAATATTTGTATTTTATTTGCATCTGAAAGTTTTCTCATTTATCATTCTCACTATTTTCCATTTTCTTTAACTGATTTATTCTACTAATTATATTGTTTATATTCTAGATTTTTTATTCTATTTTTGTAGTTCAATTCCTCTTAATTTAAAGGACCCACAAATACAGACGCATATATCCAATACTTTTTTTTGTTTATATATTTACGCATCTCTATGTATATCGGACTGTAAACCTGCAATCATTAATATTATCATCTATATTATATTTTTCATAAATGCTTTATTTAATTGTGTATTTATTTACATGTAAAAACGCGAAATATACATTTCTAGTCAGCAAATATTCACACTAATACTCTATTTTCATTATTTAATCAAAAAATTGTTTTATCTAGTTTTAATTATCCTTATTTATAAAAAATATGCATTAATTTCTTCTTTTATTAAATGAAATCTTAGATGTGTTTTTCCCTTCTTTTATCTTTTATGACATTAATCATTAATCTATCTAGTTTTTATCATTGCCCTTTCTTTTTCTTCTGTTTCCTCTTCCACTCATTAAATATTTAACCTTATTTTACAATCTTTAACTCTTTTATTTTAAATCAATTACTTTTTTCTTTAACAATATAAATTTTATTTTCTTCAAAATAAACTACATATAATTATTTTTTTTTATCACTTCCATTATCTGTTTTACTTTTCCACAATAATATTACAATCCACTTATATTATACTTGTTGAATTTTTAAATCATAATATATATAAATTTTACTATACAATAAAGTAATTTTAATTACATATATTCACTCCCACATATTATTGAATCTATATTACTCTTTTAGCAAACCAGCTTTTTTTATTTAACAATATTTAGTACTATTATTACTCATATTAAACTTGATTTATTCAAATTTTTCAAAAATTTATTCCAAAAATAACAATAGTTTTTTTTTTCTTCCAAATCAAATAACACTTTAATCTTATTGATGGTCAGTCATAATTTATTTTAAAATATAACTATTTTTCTTTATCATTATTACGGATTCATATATAATCACTATCTACTCCTGAATTTATCTAGAAATAATTTATTTATTTTAATGGCATTAATAATAGACCAAAAAAATTATTGATGAAATGATTTATGGAATTATTGATTACTAACACTACAAACAAATGTTAAAGATTGGCATTATTGCTACTATAAGGATTTACAGAATTACTCTCTACTATTTCTTGAATTATCAAATCGCAATATCACTATACACTATTCTTTATTAGCATTAAATAGTTTCTCTTTTATATCTTACCAAGACCAAAATTTTTTTTATTTATGATTACTTATAAAATTTTTATATTACATCTTATTTCAATCTTGAAATTCCTATCTTATCAAGATGCTTTTTTTTATATATTTAATACATTCTATTCATCTTAATAATATGAAATTCTTTTTATTATTTAAAAACTTCACTTTTTAATTTTACCATTTATTTCCATCATGTTTATTCTTCAAATCAATATTTTAATGAATTTAAATCTTATAATTTCTTTTCAAAATTAACATTTTATTTTTGGCAAAAAGTTTCATGGTTTTGAAATTAAACTAGATTCAATCAGGTTAAATTTTATCAGAAGTGAATTTAAAAGTAATAATGTAATTTTTAAAAAAAAATTATAAAAAAAACATTGGAAAGTGTAATTATAAAAATCTTTCTTTCTGTTTTTTTTTTTTTAAAAAAGTAAATTCATATTCTATCATAATTTTTTGCAAATATTTATTTTAGTCAATTTATTAGAATGTTTATAAATGTATTCGAAGTAAATACATTTTTTTTTGGGTGCTCATCAAAAAAAGGAAAAAGTACAGTAGATACAGGTATAATATTTCTGTCTCAGCAAAAGCCTATTAGTTTCACTTTTTATGTCCGTAATGTTACCGAAAATTAAAGATGCATTTTATTTGAAGCGAATATTCTAGCTGAATATTCATTCAAACTACTATTTGCTCCAATCATACATTTTCCTCGGTATCCTCAATACTATCAATTGCTCTACTAGTAGATTTTCTTTAGTACCTATAGCACTGCTAGTACTAATAGCGGAAATAGTAGATTGTTCTTAATATTAACAAAACTATCAATATTTAAAGATCTTGTTCCTCCATTTATATCCCATAATAATTACTTAAAGAACTCTTTTTTAGGCCATTGCAAGCAAATAATACTGATTTTTTTTATTGGAGATAAATAATAATTTAATGAATGGAATCTAATGGTTAATATTTCTGCAATAGTCAAAATTATTTTGATTCGGATAGAAAATATTTCATAAAATTTTAGATATAAAAAAAAAAAACAAGAAAATCACATAATAATTTTTTAAATCAGAAGTATAATAAAATTCTTTAACTTTTGCTGAACTAATTTATTCGATTCTGCAATTTTTAAGGGAAAATACTTTACTAAATGAACCTTATTCATGAATCTATGTGTAAAAAGTGGTTCTAGTTCATTTTTTTTTACGTTAATTTGACTTATAGCTATAATTAAAAAATTGTTGATTAATAAATTTTTTTTCTTAAATATTTTTATATCATATCTGAACACAAAGAAAATGCCAAAAAAACAAATTAGTTACATTTAAATGTAAGAAAATATGGGAATAGAAATAATTAATATATTTTTAAACAAAAAAAAAGCTATTTAATTATAATTAAAAATAAAAATTGCATTTAAAGTTAAATAAATAATCAATAAGAAAAAAAAAAATACGTCCAAGTATTAAATACATAATAGAAAGAAATTTTGTATATGAATAAATATAAGAGATAAATTATAGATGATATAATGAAATTAGTTTCAGAATCAATGATTACAATAGTTAAAAATAATTTTCATAACAATAGTCAATTTATTCATAACTCCCCCTTTCCTTAACTTTTCCCACCTTTTTTGCCAAAAAGACGTGAAAAACAAGTCATTTTTAAATTAATTAGAAAAAAATTGATTAAATAACATAAATTAAATTATGGAAACTCTTAAAACTCAAAACAAATTTAAAACAACATTAGCAGATATAGAATTTTTAAAGATAACATTTCAACAACTATTGAAAGAGTCATTAGATTTAATCCGTATATCAGCACCATTATTTCTTGAAAAATCATCAGGTTTAAATGACGATTTATCCGGTATAGAAGAAAAAGTATCATTCGAATTTAACAATAAAACATTAGAAGTAGTTCAATCATTAGCAAAATGGAAAAGGTTTGCATTAAAAAAATATGGCATTAATGGTTTATATGCAGATATGAACGCAATACGTAAATCGGAAAAATTAGATCATTTACATTCAATATATGTAGATCAATGGGATTGGGAAAAAGTTATTGATTTAAGCCAGGGTAGAACGAAAGACAATATATTGGATGAAATGGCAAAAATTATTCATAATAATGTGTGCAATTTAGAAAGATTATATTGGAATATGAAAAAAGAAAAAGAAAATATAAATATTCCAAATGAAAATGAATTAATTAAAAAAGAACTATTTATAATATCATCAGAAGAATTATTAAATATCTATCCAAAATTATCAAGCAATGATAGAGAAAGAGAAATATGTAAAAAATATGGATCAGTGTTTATTAAACAAATAGGTAAGAAATTAAGTAATAATACAATTCACGATTTACGTGCACCAGATTACGATGATTGGGAGTATAATGGCGATTTATTATATTGGAGTAATAGCATAAATGGTCCAATGGAATTAAGTTCAATGGGTGTACGTGTAAATAAAGAATCATTAATAAAACAATTAAATATATGTAATTGTGATAATAGATTAGAATTACCATATTGTAAGATGATATTAAATAATGAATTACCACAAACAATAGGTGGCGGAATAGGTCAAAGTCGGCTTTGTATGCTAATATTAAGGAAAGAACATATATCACAAGTGCAATGTAGTTATTGGGATGATGAAAACACAATGGAAGGCACATTATGATAATTTGCAGTATTTTAAGTTTTTTTTCGTTTTATTTTAATTATCTATATTAGTAAAAATATACTAAGATGACTTGAAGTGTATATTTGTATATTAAATTATTTTTAAATATTCATTATGGAAAAAAATGTCAGAAAATAGAGGAAAAAATCATATAGCTTATTAAGAACAAATTTACTTATTCTCAGGTTCTACTCTTTACAATTAAATAATTTATAGAAAAAAAATAACTCGCCTTTTATTTATAAACTTAATTTTTATCAATAAAAAACATTTTTTTCTAATTAAATTCTTAACCAAATTTTCCAATTCAATTGTTATTCAATTGTTTCCATATTATTCATTTTAATTAATATCATTTTAATCATTAACTTATTTAGTTTATATGAATTAGTAGTCAGGTATCGTGGCGAAATGTACAGATTAGTTTCAACGATAGATCGGAATGAGTATTAATATTGTTTTTAAGGTACCCAATTAAATAGGATTGATCCCCTTAAATAATTTTCGAGATAAATAATGAACTCAACTTAACACGCCATTTAAACAATCTTGAGATAATTTCTGATTATTTTTAATCATTTTTGGAGCAGAATTATTTACTTGGGATGCTAATCTAAAATATTTTTAATTATTAACCAGTATGAAATTAAGGCCATGATACATTGTATTAAAACAACGCAGACAAAATCATTTTCATGTTTTTTTTACTTATTCTATAGTTTAAATCCCTCTTATTTGAATTATTAAATGGATGAGAGAAATATGAATTACATTTCACAAGAATCCCATCAGTTACAGTTGGATATTTAATGAACTATAACCTAATTTCTTTGATTTTTTTTTTCTATTAAAATATTGAGAACTTAATGATATAATAAGTGAAATTTAATCATGATTATTATGTTTTATTAATAATGAGCTATTTTTAGTTTAATATAAAATATTCTGAAAATATTTATGAAAAAAACAAGAAAAAATTATAACTTTGTATATTATTGAGATAATAAAATTCTTCAACTTTTCTGAAATAATTAATGATAATTTTAGCAGGCTTTCAAGTTTCTTTGTTTGAAATCTAATTTCTTAGATTTTAATTAATCTTTAAAAAATAATTATAATTATTGTATGAATAAATAGATATAAAACGTCGCACAAGATGAATTGGTTATATTTGTACGCAAAAAATACGTGTAAATGCCATAATTATTCAATATATATAACAGAAATAAATGAAAGTTATTTTGCAAATGTTGATTACAATATAAATTTGTATCACAGCAATCTGTTTTTTTTTTGGAGTTTTAGTGGTGTGTGTGGTTTTTTCTAAGATATTATGCTGGCTTAGATAATTTTTTTCTTTAATGAAAAGAATTAATGATCAATTATTTTATTTTTAGATTCATTTAAAAAAAAAATCAAATATTTTTAGAAAATTAAGATCCTACTGAATTTTTTTTAATTAATAATATTCAGAGATTATTTATTTCAGAAGAAAATCTTCAAAAATTTTTAAAGTTTATATAGAAAACAATTAGTTAATTCTCATTTATAAAAGAACATTAAATTATTATTAATCGTACAAAATTATTCCCGAATAAATCTTGCCGACTATTTAATACTTACATCAACATATTTTACACAAAGAAAAGTACATTGTACAATTTTCTGTAGTTAATTAAACAAGCATCCAAGTAAGAAAGAAAAATACGGTCTCATTACATCTTTAGAAGATAATGAACGTAAAACAAACAACTTTCTGGGCAAGAAGCAGTACGTAACTTAGTTCTTAAACTTGGAAAATTTTACTACCTAAACTTGATTGATGTATTACTTTGCTAAAAATAGCATTTAATCCTCGTAAACAATCTACAAGTATTGGCAAACATTTTTTTAAAGTTCCAAATAATAAATAAAAATTTGTAGAAATGGATATTACAGATAGAATTAATACATTTTGTTATTATTAATAATAGAAAAAATCACTTAGATGATTTCTCTTTTTAAATAAATAACTACTTTTTAATTTAAAAGTAATAACAAATTTATGTTACAAAATAATTTCGTACATCAAGACAGACCTACAAATTTTTAAGTATTAAACATTAAAAAATGGTTGGCGGCGATGAAAGAAAATTTTCCGGGGTATATAGTATTCAACCTGAAAAGGAAAAAGTTGACGTGTTAGTGATGAGCTGACATTGAGTATTAA